ATATTTGTGTATCTGCATGTGTTCATATGTGTGTGTATATAGCTGTGCTCCAGAATCTCAATCCAAGATGGCAAAATTTGACCTCTCAAAATAAACCTAACCTAACTCTGAGCACTTCTATCCCTGTCCACACTCATAAAGCTTCAGTTAAGACTTTAAGTGCGTGGTGAGGACTGCGTGTGAAACTTTCATGACAGGTGAGAAAGGGGACAGGAAAGGAAGTTACCACTGTAATAAATATCTTAACAACCTTCACAATAAGACCTAGTGTGAGCCGATTTGAACAAGAACAGCCCTGTGACAAATTATAAACACCACCAGTGTCTGCAGAGAAATACACTAAACATCAAAGAATACTGAGTGATCTAGCAGCAACAAGACTACGGACATCATGTTCTTCACATCTGTCATTCATGTGTCCAGGGAAAGGATTTGTTACAGGGTGATTATCATACTTTGTGTGCACAGTAGTAACTGCAACTCACCCTCCAGTCTCTGGTTCTCCTTTTCCATGCGCAGCAGTAGAATCTGCTGGTGGATGGCAGTCTTCCAGAGGGCCCGGTAGTCAGCTCCAGTCCTCTTAGGCCTCTCCCCCGACGGCAGCAGGCGCCCCAACGGATCCAGACTTGAGTCAAAGGCACGAGGAGAAAGAGGCAACAGCTCCTTGCCATCAGAGTGGTCTAAAACACAACATCCAAACACATCAATACAAAGTACATGTAGAAAAAAGATTTTTAAGTCCAAATTTCTTTCTGTGAACAATGAATCTAATGACTGTTTGTACTATGAAAGGGGTTGTCTGCCACGATTGGAGGACAGAGAATTATCACCCAACTCTGCAGCTCTACAGAGCTTTGCTAGCCCTTTTTTTAGCTTATTGTTTTGATTTTATTGCATATTTAATAATAATAATAATAATAATAATAATACATTTTATTTCTAAGCGCTTTTCTGGATACTCAAAGACACTTTACATAAAGATAACATAAAAACAGCAAAACAACATAGAATAGTAAAACACTAAAAAACACATCGGACTAAGCTAAACATTAAAAGCAATTTTAAAAAGGTGAGTTTTTGTCATTGATTTGACTGCTGGAAGGTCGGTGCAGTCACGGATTTGTTTGGGGAGAGAGTTCCAGAGGGAGGGGGCAGATACAGAGAAGGCTCTGTCGCCCCAGGTTCGGTGCTTGGTCCTGGGTGGTGGAGTCAGGAGGTTTGCTTCAGATGAGCACAGGCTACGGGGTGGATTGTGGCGGTGGAGCAGGTCAGTGAGGTAGGAAGGGGTCTGGTTATGGAGGGCTTTGTGTGTGAGGAGGAGGATTTTGCATATTTACTGTGTTGTCAAGTCTCAATAGTCTCACCGCTCTCATCAACCTGTCCCCAGTCGCAGCAGGCTGCTGAACGCTAACTTACCAGCAGACAGACAATGTCAGCAACTAGCTGGTGAAGAAAGCCAGAAGAAAGAGCCAGATATTTCATGCCTTGTTAATGCTGAGCATCTGGGAATAATCTTCTAGCTAAATTTTTAAGCTACCTTGAGTAAGATAAGATTATGCTTAAGGTAAGAAAACTGCCCATGAGAACAGGGAGGAGGATCACTTTCACAAGCTCCTTTATCAGTGTTTATCTGACAAAGATGAAGCTAAGAAATTCCTCTTTCCTTTCATTCCTTACTGCTTTTCCCATATAGGCATGTCATTTTAAAGCTGAGAGTTTAAGAATAGTTATTTGCCACAAGAATCAAATGTTCTCCCTGCCTTGTATTCATTTCCTATGCACTTGTGGATTATTCAGAGCGTATTCAATGTGCGTCATGTTGTGCCTCGCCTGAACTGCTTGAGGCATTGTATTACCAGACCTGGGTGCTGCATGGATGTAGATGTCTTGTTCATTGGTGACGCAACCCTCAGAAAGATCTTCTGTCTCCAGGAGACCCTGCGTGGGGTCGGAGGGAGACCTCCACTCACTGAGTCACTGCTGCAGCCAGACAGGGTCCTCTTCCTGCCTTCCCCATTGCTACGAAAAAAGACAGGCGCGTCACAGACACCCGATAGATGAGTCATGTATCACCTTACACCAACACTCTTTCAGCAGCTTTTACAAATGCAGACACACAGACACACACAGACACACACAGACACACACACAGACACACACACACACACACACACACACACACACACACACACACACACACACACATAAATCTAACCTCTCCTCTCAGAAACAACACAGGAAATATTACATACAAGTTTCTCTCTGAGCTGATGGAAAATGGAGGAATGGTCAAGGTGAATCTTAAACATATCGATGAATAACATACAGGCATTGACTGATTCCCGATGTTAATAAAGCAGAACATGGTGTTGTAGGTCACAATTAGTACTAAAATGACAACAAACATCAGCCAGCAAAACAGCCACAGCTGAGGGCCATGCATGCTTGTTCATTTTCTGGAAAAAGAAGTTGCTTTTGTTAGTAGAGAAGAAAATGTGGTTACTGAGCTGCTGCAGGTCCTGAAAAATGTTTACTGCCTCACGTTACTCATTAGGTTCACATTTATCAAGTCATAATATCCAGGCCTTAAAATTCACACCTGCCAACACAACAATGCAGACAATGTAGTGAACTTGGTAAGTGCTGAAACAAATCCTAAAAAAAGGTCCCCAAACAGAACCAAAACAATGGAAATAAAGAGCTTGGTCACACGTGGAAAGACATTGGGGGCAATGAGGTTAACCTGCTTTTTCGTGTTAACATACGAGCACAGTACGTGAGCACCAGTGAATTTTCATGTTACACATTTATTATATGACATATTGTATTTGTTCAAATTACATTGAAATCCTGTCACCAATGATTTTTTTGGGATATTTTTAGGTTTGTTTGTTTGTTTGGTTATTTTTAAGACAACCGCTTCTGCAAGTGAAAATTCAGGGTGAATTTTCATTTCAATCTTTGAATACACACATACGTATGCATATACCAAAGCTGTCAAGTGTGAAAATGAAGTTCAGGTTCTGAGTTCTGAGAGTTATTGATGAATCGTTTAAAGTTGAAATTGTATTTTTTTCTCCATTAAAGAAAAAGGCATTTTATGTAACTCATTAAGGATCACTTGATAGCTACAGTAGTCAATAAGCTTGGTCAGCACACAAGCATCCATCTGATCATGTGGATAGTGAAAAACAGGAAGTGACCTTTATTGAGACAAATGTCACTGAGAACATGTTTTAACCCTCTCAGCTGTTCTGCATACTTAACATCTGCCCTTTAACAGATTAAAATTAAATGTGTGATATATTACCTCTTACTCTGCCAGTAGAATCATAAAGAAAGTAATAGAAAAGACAGCACTAGCACAGGTGTAAAGTTATCTCATAGTATAACGGCTAAAGCAAATATGGCGTATTCAGATCTTAAAACCCAGCAGGTCGAAGCTTCAGCTTGACCTTCATCATCAGGTTCAACGTGTGCTGAAAAGCTTTTCTTCCTCGTTTTGCTGCATCAATGCAAGTGTGCAGAGGATTGGACTGCTGTCAGAGGAGAAAAACATCCAGTGGAAATGCCATTTTAGAATGGTCTGCTCCACTGAATCTCATTCATAATGGAAATGTTAACCTTTACTTTCTGCCATCCAGACACCTAGTAGAGTCTGTCATGGTAGCACTGCCAGAGAGGATACAGAGGCTCTCAAGCACACCGTGGTGTGCTTTCTGTTCTTGGCCATACTAAAGTTAGCTGACTGATTAGTGCAGTTGAGCAGTAACAATAACCTTTCAAAATAAGTGCATGACTGAACTGAGTCAGCATGATGCTTAGAGTTCCTAAGGCATCATGAACAGCACTGGTTAGAAAAGGCGATGGCACAAGTGTTAAAGTGCAGTTTATAAAGGCTGTAAACCCAGGTTAAACACAGTTTTGTTGCGCAAAACAGCTTAAAGTTCATGCAAAGACAACAAAAGAGGGGTGTATCAGCATCCCCTTCTACTTCTGAGCGAAACAGGAAGAGGGCGGGTCCAGCTGCAGAGACGATGGGGAAAAAAAACTGCTGGAAAGTATTTTACCAATAAAAAATTGCTATGGATAGAAAAGAGTACAGGGACAAAAGAGCTGGGTGTTAAAAGGTTTGGACAGCCAACACGTATGCCATCCCAGTAAAAACAGTCTGTCCCTCCCACACATCTCATCCCCTCTGTCCCTGGCTGATGCGTTGAGGTCTAAAAGCAGGGGGGGCTTTGCCTGAGCACCCCCCTCTCACCTCTTGAGGCTCCCACTGTCTGCCAGAGAACTCAGGGAGCCCAGTGAGCCCTGGTAAATGCTTTTCAGGAAAGTGGGGGCGGAGAAGGAGGAGGGGAGGCTGAAGGAGGACTCGCTCTCCGAAACACTGCGCGTTCTCGAGATAGCCACGGGACTGGGCGAGCCAAACACGAAATGCCCACAAATAAAAAACAAAACAAACACATTACACAAAAGAAAGAGCTTCTGGTCAGACCACAGAAAAACAGAGGAACTCATGAGCGATCAAAACAGTGACAGGAAACTTGTGATGTTATTGTTCAAGGACAGTGGAGCAGGAGGTGGAGAGTTTCAGGACTGATCAAAGTGCTGCAAATAGATTACATTGTCTGTGTGTAAATCAAAGGTTAACTAAATATTTAGTCAGTGTTAAACTGATTAAAAGACAAGCAAAGGGTTTTGATTTTCGGAGCAAAGTTAGCATTAGCCATATCTTCAGACAAAACACAAAAGCTCACTTCTGTAGAAAAGATTCACTGCAAATCATCCACACCTGCAACATTACTAAAGAGAAGCATATTCTGCATTGATCGTTCCCCACAGGTTCAAAACAGGAAGGCAGAGACTGATGAGTTTAGAGTTAGGTTACCTGCTCTGCAGCAGTTCTGGGTTAACAGACTGCTGTCTGCGCAGTGGAGCCTGTTTGCCCTGGCTGGACGGCTGTCCCTCAAAGGAGATGCGTTTCTTCACAGGTGGATGGCTGAAGGTGTGGGCACGCCTACGGAACTGCACGCCGGTTTCCGGGTCATCGTCTGGAAAAGCGGGAGGGGAACCTGGAGGGGAGTGACCAGGAGATTCCTCATCCTGCTGGAGGGGACAAAATGTGAAAGGGAGAAAGATGTGAGTGAATATGTAAAACTTTTACAGTAATCTGCATTTATGATATTTTATAGATTTATTTTATTTAGCATGGTTGGGCTTATCTGACTGTGGGTGCCAGGGTGAAACAATGAGAGAATGGTGACAAGCTTAACACATAGTGCAGAAAAAATCCTTATACCTGGGTATAAGCAGGCAAAATTCAAAGGGTAATAATCATTCTGAAGTCAAACTGCACGTAGCTAGTAACTCTATTACAGAGGCAAAGCACCAAAACCAAATAAAACACCACCTCAATTGCTCAAGTTACAGGTCTACACTCACCTAGCCGACGTAACCCCATGGCAAGACTCGCTCCAGGTTCAACTTTCCACTCAACACCCTTGGATTCAGTGTCGCCTCATGCCAGGCTGTACAACTCCCACATCTATTGTATTCTAATAGTCAATGTCCTGTGACTCATGGCATCACACACTATTGGTGGGGAGGACCTCAGTGGCTCAACTGCACATGGAAACCCTCCAATCTCCTCCCATCATGCTTTTAGAGACCTCCCTCTCTAAAGATCTGACATGACAGGAGACATTCAGAGACATTTGAGGAAGAACGTCTAATGGAACTGCTGTCACTATCTTGAAAGTCCTTGCACTGCTAATGTCACTGAAGATCAGAACAGGTCTGTTGCACACATCTAAATCATGCCGTCAGCTGAGTGGCTTGATTGCAATTTGTAGATCTTAGGAAACATTGATAAGATAAAGTGACTCAGTGAATCAGACACTTGTGCAGCGCTGTGTCAGGGCTAAGAAGAGGAAGCCAGGAGAAGCATGGCTCAGCAGTCGTACAAATGGACATCCTGGCTTGAATTTCCTGCTTGCTAGGACATCGGCATCCTGAGACAATACCCAGATGACTACTTACTCGCTTAATCACAGAGCAAACAACATTCTTCTGACCTTCAAAATAACAAAGAGGGGCACAGGTGAGCCTTGAAGGGGCAGATTTCCCTTGTACATACAGAATATACATGTGTGTAACAATGTCACTTAAGTACGCCTTAAGGATACACAGGTTGCTTATGAAAATACAATAACTTGCTCCTCTTACGTAGGGTTGTCTCAGTAAAGGTAAGAGCAAAAAAGCACAGAAAAAAATCCCCCATCACAACCTGCCACTTGAAGGCTGATGTAAATAATTTTCCTATGAATCCAACATGACATGATTGATGCAACAGGCAGTAAGTAAGAAAGTAAGTCATATGACAGCTAAGAAAAAGGTCTATTCAGTATCTCTGTGTGTTTAAGAGCAACACATCCTTAAAGGGTCAAGCCACCAATTTTACACATCAAATTCTTTTTACAGTTCTTGGGGAGTGCTACTGGATATGTGAAAAAAAAAATTTGTAAAAACCTTTTGTGGCTCCAGACGGAGCTGCATGAAATTTGATAAAGTGCCTGAGTGATGTCACTTGATGTCAGCTGTGTCTGAAAACTATAAGTTAAAAAATGTTAAGAAAAAAAAATCTGAAGTTGTGGATGTAAGGTTACCAGGGCTATGTAATCCGCTACTCATCTCTGCTTGAGGCTGGCAGCTCGACTCTTTATTAGCCTCTACTGGCATAACACACCTGAATGTCCAACTCAAGTAATGGCGGTTTAGTTGCATTGTGGGTAATGTAGGCACCAGGTTTGGACAAGGAAGAAGTGTGTATTGAATAAAAAAAAAAAAGACATCTGTGGTTCTGCTGTATTGATTTTGATACTTGTCTTTTAAATGCCCAACAATGTTAAAGGAGTGCAATGCTAAATCGGTGGAGTACTCTTAACTCCATCATGACTGACGGGGAGTCAAAGGGACTATATTACACACTCACTCCACATTCTGCACAGCAGTAACACAGTGGAGCCAACAACCCCAAATGGTTCACTGATCGCTCTGTAAACACACTCCCTGCTGTACTGTTCCCTACTTTGGCCAATGGAGCTTCATCATGAAACTATGTGGGAGTAAGGCAGTGCAGAATCATGTCTCCATGTGAGAAGAAAACTGTTGACAGTGTCCAACTACTAAGAATGATGAAAGTTAAAGCATGCTTTTCACACTTGTACTATTCTGAGGACATTGCTGGAATATAACATGCTTTTAACAGCCACTGGGTAAAAAGTGTGAATTCCCAGAGTCCCCTGAGTGAAGTTCTGGGAATTCTCGTTTTCCCCCTCAGGGACACTTACCCGTTCAAAACTGCTAATGCTTCCCATGCTCCCCAAGCGGCCCCGCATCCGGCTGGCACCCTGGTGACAGAGGTGGTGATACAATATGAAGCAACCAACAAATTGGATAAAAACAAATAAGCAAAAACAGGTTTTTCAAAAAGTGTACTAACTGTTAATGACAAAGTGTGCAGTTGGTATTGTCAAGAAGGTAGTAAAACATCAACTCCGAAAAACATAAACAGCAAGAAATAACAAGGGCAAATATTTCCTGACTTGATAACGTTAACTGTGTCATTGTTCAGCTAAGTCTCTGAGACGATAACAGATGGCAGCAGAGGTCTCAGATTGCCTGGATCCCTCTACCAAGGAATTATTCTGCTGTCTCACTGGCAGATATGGGTCAATCCAAATCCCCTGGATGATAATGACACAGAAACAGGAGCTGATACAAAGAGAGATCAGTGAGACACATAAAGGTATGCAGCACAGTGGCTATATTCTGTCCGGGGCAGAGAAATAAGAGACACGGATAAAGGGAGAGAAAAAATGGCAGATAAAATAACAGCAGGAAATTAAATAAAGATAAAAGGCGGGGGCATGAAGATCATGTGTTATAAAAAATTAAGAAAAAAACCCTCTCTGCTCAGACCCACCCTTGCAAAGATATTCTCCAGAGAGCTGGTGAGGGAGGTGCGTGCTTTATTCTTGAGAATATCAAGTTTGAAGCGACTGCTGGTGGCTGCGCCGTCTCCTGCCGACGAGCTGTTTGCTGCGTTCTGTCAGATGATAACAATGGACACGAGGAAAAATTAATCACCACAGAAACTATTAATGCAATGTGACTGCAGAGACTGTCACTGTATACAAACTCTGTGCAGGCATACAGCAGCAAAGCACTTGGCCAAGAATAACACTGGGTCTGTTGTTGGGTTTCTGCCACGTGAATGGTAATATTTAACATACAGTCCCCCAGGCTAGATCATGCTAAAGTAATTATCCACAACTCTGTCATACTTTAATGTTAGATTAGAAACTTATGGAATGTAACACTGAGTCAATTGATATCCAGCTTCTTCCCAGGAACATTATGTATCCAGATGGGAAGTGATGGACCTAACATATAAAGCTGCAGTAGGCCCTGACAGTAGTACATGAGACAGATAATCTGTGAAAACAAAATCAGGTTCCTCTTGTTCGTCCTGCTTCAAATGCCATTAGGAGTAAAGAAAGGATAAGAAGTCCTCTCAGACAGAGGTCCACAGAGACACATTGAAATCCGTGCTACTCTGCATAAAATCCTTTACTTTTCAGAAAGCTTTATGGTGTAAATGGACTTTTCCCACATTTCAAGGATGTTAAAGGCCCTTGGAAACTTTTTAGGCATTCATGCTACACCACTCGATTTTGATTTGGGTGAAAATGTCCTTTCTTCAGTTCTTTAGTTAAGTTAAAGTAAAACCTCATAAATCAATCTGTAACTTGGAACTTGTGAGGGCTCATTCTGCTCTTGTCACATAGGAATACAATTTATGCAGTATATTTTTTGGATGATGTTTTTCCCCATTATCTGCAGGGTAAAATATTTACCTGAGGGGCCTCTCCGATGTGGAGGTGGGACTTTTGTTTGGTTTCACAGAGCTGTCTTAGATGGAGAATCACCAGCTCATTCTCCTCTTGGTCTGACCCAGGCTTCAGTCTCTGCAGACATGGATACAAAGAGATCAATCACCAAAAAAAACTGTTATTATGCGAGTCATTTTGCAGATAATAAAGTGTGCTTTCTCTAAGCAGAGCTGAACCTTACTTGAACTCGCTCAAAAATTTCAGCCTGCTCATTATCAGTCAGCTGGGAGAGATATTTTTGGATGGCTAGTTTTGCTCTGGGTGGGTAGAGACCTGGAAACAGAAGAGGAAATAAGAAGGCTCTTTTATGTTGCTTCAAGTCTAAAGAGCAGACTATGCATCAATATATTTATGAGTCAAGCCAGAGAGGGGTGCTGGAGTGTGACTGAGTTTACCTTCAATCCGCTCGCAGAGCTTGTGCAGGTCGTGCATGGGGCAGGCTTCACAGAGCTGGACCTGGGTCTTGTTGCTCTGTAAGGCTGCTGCTGTAGTGAAGGCCTGCTTCAGGGTCAGCATCACCTCATCCACCTGACACACACAGACAAACGTAGGGGCAAGATGAGCACGCACACACACACACACGCACAAAGAGGTTGGTAGGGATTAAAATAAAGGTACTGAGTTCAGCTGAAGTCATTTTAATTTACATATTTTGTGTGACTCACCAGGGACTCACTGGCACACTGGAAAACATAGCACACATACTGACTGGGACCAGGCTCTGATTGGTCCCGACAGATGAATCCAAAATGGTCGCACTGCTTGATGCCCTGTTTCAAAGTGAAGACAAACAGGAAACTAGAATAAATCACAGCAAGGGAAGACAATACTTTTAAGTCTTTGTATTCAGCTCAGCTATACAAATGATAAGCCTGGAACCAAGAACAGCACACACTGACACTATAATGGCTCTTGGCATTCTCCATTTCCAATTTCCATTAAATTAGTGAAATGGACACTTGGCTCACACTAGACAGTGCATTATCTTTATGCAGCGTGTCTATTTAAAGAAATGGGACTGCGTCGGGCAGTTAAAAAAAGAACATATTTCTACATAAATGATAAAGATGTCATTCGCCATCAAATTAAGGATTGGAAATAAAAAGCCGGCTGTACTGTCAAAACAGGGCAGTAATGTATTAGAGGCCTAGAAAAGATATGCACAAAATTATCCGGAGCTAATTCTCTGGATAGGACCGCTGCAAGGACAGAGGAGAGAGGCTTTTAGTGTAAATACAGCAAGTAAAAATAAACCAACCTGACAGCAGGATGAGATATCTTTGAAGTTCTTCTCCAGCACCACTGTTTTACTGTCAGGACTTATGAGGTTTACTTCAAAACGCCCAACCTGAGAAACACAAGAGCGTATCATGGTCGGACAGATTCATGCAAGAATACATACAGATACAGAAAAAAGTACTCATGAAACAACAATAATAATATCTGTATACTATAGGTAGATCACGGATATAACTTGAGGCAAAGTGTCTCAGTGTCAAGCTCCTCGTGACAAGAGCTGTAACTATCCTGAGACCCGTTCAATGACATACGTAAACACACTCACGCACTCTCAAAATCAAGGTCAACAAGTCCACGCCAATGATTTTTCCCATAATTGACTGCTATGTGGAGTATCATATTGAGCGTGGTGCTCTAGTTTTTAAAATTAGCTTCATGAGGAAATGGGCATGGTGCGTCAGGAATGGCAGCTGGCTCACTGTGCAGCCGGCATGCGTTTCATAAAGCGCCGTCCTTACGTTTTCACGGGGGTAGCGCTGCAGTCACACATTCTCCTCAGGAGTTACAGCCTCTTTAACTGGAGCGGTAACACAAGGCAGAGCTAGTCTGTACATTATAACTGCCAGCCATGTGCACATAAAAATGATTTGCAAGAGGCTCAGAGGCTGGACTAAATGCAAAGAGGGGTGACAAACAATGACAAACGGTGCAAGGCAAGCAAGCGTTTGATTTTCATGTGTGACGGATGGAATCAAGTTCTTCTAAAGAAATTACGACTTAGCGGTAGTGAGTGGGGAAAAAGAAACATCCATCCATCTCACTGACAATGGGAGTATATTTAGAGTTCTGCTCATAAACCTAACATCCACTGCAATTTTGGAGTAAATCCAAAGAGTATAAATTACTGACACAACACACACAACTGTACGTTGTATGACTGTAATTCAAATATAATACATCCCTTGGTCCTGGCCAGGCACTTGAGTGCATACTAAGGCACAATGAGAGAACGTTGCTGTTATGATAAAGCTCCTCAGCACTGTGTTCTTCCAACGGACTAAGCATCTACAGTCTGCTGGACACAAAGATAAGAAACCTCTTATCCTCTAAGCTCATCCTGAAACCAAGACATTAGCGAAAGTACAGCACGCCATTACTAACAGCATTTTTCTTCAGTAAATTGAATTCTACCTGGAAGAGCATGGTACGGTTCTTGTCTGCGTCAGATGGCTGAACATGGTTGGGTGCACTAGAGTGTCTGCGGCGCGTGGGTGCCATGATGACGCCATCTCCCGGCTTCCTCTGCAAACTCCCCGCCAGGCTGCTGCAACGCGTTCGAAACTCCTGAGGCTCCTCAAATCCGGAATCCTCCAGGATGCACTCGGGGAACGCTCCTCGCAGGCTGCTCTGACTGGCACTGCTAGACAGACCTTTACCTAAAACACGTACAGCAAGTTTGTATTATATAATACAATAGTAAGAATATCATTATAAAAACATTATAATATATACTACTAGAAATACTGTTTATTTAGCATTACATGTTCTTCATGAATGATTTACTGGTGAGGATGCTGACTTTTGGGTGGGACATGCAGGTTTAGCCTCAGTCTTGTAGTACGACATCATATTAACATCATCTACATATTAAAGACCC